CAGCAGTTTATACCACCCCTGGGTGGAGAGCTAACATTATAATTAGCTTTAAGCACGAGCACCCAAGGAAATGATCTGGACGTAGCTTGTATTTTCTGTTTTAGTAACGAGTGCATAGCAGGGCGGTGTGCAAAAGCATGAGCAAGGATCAGGGAGAAAATGGCGGAAGGCGACTGAAAGTGATAAGGAGGACATGTGCAGGTGTCTCTTTGGCATCCGTAAAAAGCATAGGTATAGAGGGCAATGCCAGCGAAACCACGGACCGAGAATTCCACACTCTGCGTAGCTTATCGTCTCTGGCTGAAGGACGTACAATTTATGACTTTGCATCTTGTTGCAAGAATGTATAAAAACTCTGCTAACTTGAGAGCACGTGTGCACGCTTTGGAAAATATTCCCTTGCATCGTCTTTGTTCTGCGCAGAATAAATATTTTATTTATTTTATCTCTATCCTGGGCAAAATCACATGCCAGGCTAGAACCGCCCCCCCCAAGTTCCCGGGACAACAATGGTGGATCGTCAATATTACTCTTAAGCTCCTTGAAAGCACAAGCCTATTTTTGGCCCATGAATCAATTTCAAATTAGGTTCTTATTTGGCTCCATCTAGGGCAGTGTTTCTCCCCTTCCATTCATTCATTCATTCATTCATTCATTCATTCATTCATTCATTCATTCATTCATTCATATTTCAAATTTAGATACCGCCCATCTCACAAAAAAGTGACTCTGGGCAGTTCACAATAAAACAGCAATAAATATTAATCAAAATACAATAAAAACAATATAAAATACAATAAAAATAGAATAAAAACCAAACACATATGCAAATAATATCTTCCAAGATGTTGATGATCAGTATGATGGGAGCATCTTCAAGGTGCTAGCCACCCCCAGGGTGGGTTGCCCCTTTTTTCGCCCCATGCCAGTTGGCAGAGCCAGGTCTTGACTGCTTTCCGGAAGGAAAAGAGAGTTTTTGTTTTCCAACTTGGCACTCCCCAGATGCATTTGAATTGGAAATTCCAGAAATCCTAGCTATGCTGCTGGCTTAAAGTTTGGGGTCCTGTAACCCCAAGACCTCTGTCTTATTTTAATGCTTTGCAGGGAGTACCTTCAAGTCAGTTTTGACTCCTAGCAATTGCCTGGACAGGTCCCTGAAGTTTTCTTGGCAAGATTTCAGAAGTGATTTGCCATTGCCTGCTTCCTATTGGCTGAGAGAGAGGGACTGGCCCAAGGTCACCCAGCTGGCTTTGTGCCCAAGGCAGGACTAGAACTCAGGATCTTCCGGTTTCTAGCCTGGTGCCTTAACCATTGCACCAAACTGGTTGTAAACAATTTATTATTATGTATTTATCCTTATGTATCACGGAATGATGGCTCTCACTCACCTTGTTTGGCTTGAAGACACTGGGAGAAGACTGCCCAAAAATGTTTTAGATAAATAAAGGTCTCATTTTAGACACTGCAGGATCCAAGGAAACCACACGCAGAAGAAAAAATAAAAAAACCAGGGTGCATGATCAACTCACCACGCGGGCAAAGGGGAGCTTGGAAATGAGAAGATTGGTGCTCTTTTGATACTTTCGGATCTCCTGCATGGCCCGCCGGCCAGGCCGGTACTTCCGTCTTCTCCGACGGCCTGCAAGAGAGGAGCGAAGGGAGTTAACACAAGCAGGGATAGTCCCCAGGAGGAAAAGAGATTCCAGTGCAGTAGTTCCCAACCTTGGGGACTTTAAGATGTGTGGACTTCAACTCCTAGAATTCCCCAACCAGCCTGGGGAAAAAAACAATCATTATAAAAAGATAAAAATTATTAAAATGAAAATAATCAAAAATTTTAAAACATACAAACCCTACGGAGAGAGCAGAATATCAATCACAGTGGAGCCATCTAAGAATTTAATTCTTTAATTTCAACATGCAAAGCTGAACTGTCATCATCTTCCTAGTCCTCTTTTTTAACCAGCACTAGGATCTGTACTAGGAACCCGTTGAAATGTCCTGAAACATTTTCAAGGGCAGACCTTTAGAGAGACAAGCCCTGGAGCCGCCAAGCCTGGTGCTGGCAAAGCAAAGATAAGGGTGGTTGGAAGAAATAAGTTATATTCTGTGGGTTTTCCAAAGGGCAATTCACAGAAGGGAGAATGCCTGGGATCAGTTGCTCTCTTTCAAGGAATGATTAATTTTGCTTTGAGGGGTCCCTGATTGTATGGTTTGAGATAGAGGTGAAAGATGGTCCTAATTTTTCAGCAGAAGAAGGTTCCAGGGTATAAGGCTGCTCTATAAATCAAGCTCATAAAAGAGAGAAGCTTGGACAAAGGGTTACTAGGTATTGTTTGGCAAGGAAATACAGATCACTCCTTGTGTCTTATAGAACATCTGGCCATACCTCCCCTAGGGAGGGGAATGGATTAAATAACCCAATTTTCCTTCATCAACTCGCTTGCTTGCCTGCACACACTTCCTGAGCACTGTATAAAGTTCTAGGTTCAATTTCTGTAGGATCTACTGCTAAAGGATCTCAAATCAAAAGCCCTCATCTTTTAAGCGCCACAAAAAGTTCATGCCAGAAAAAAGTAATTTGCTCCAGAGTAGCTGCACCATTGTGGCCAAAATGATTCAGCTATAATTCCCAAATGTACATATTTTGGAATTTAACCTCTTTTAAAAAGTCACAGACCCCCCCCAAAAAACCAATAAAATAGAGTAAAAAGACATAAGAACAGCACAACCCATCTAACAGCCTACTTAATATAAACAGCAATTAATCCTAAACTAATTTCATGTTCACAAAGCACACGTTCTATAAACTACAAATGCAAATGGAGCAATATGGTTCTGGGGAATTTCCCAATCAGAGCTTTGTACAGAATTGCTCTGATCATCCAGACCAGTGTTTCTCAACCTCCGGCAGCGTTCATATTTATGTGGGCGTATTACCCCTACTCCCCCACCCACCACAATCCCAGG